GAAGGTGGAAGGAACGATTAAGAGCAGCTGATCCCTAAAGTCTGAAGGGCTGGTTGGTCTCTCTGAAATCTGTGTTCTGTGTCCCTGAGGCAACATTACACTTTGCTTTTAAAATGCCTCGCTTTGATTGACCCGGACTTGACCCAAGCATTAGACAAATGCGTGTACATTTGTGGTCTTAGAGAGTCAGAGTGTGTGTGTGTGTGTGTGTGTCTGTCTGTCTGTCTGTCCGTCTGTGTGTGTGTGTGTGTGTGCGTGTGCACCTGTGGGTTCATGTCTCTGTGCGGCTGAAGCTGGATTTTTCTCAGTTTATTTTTCTTAGGATGGACAATCATTTGGGCTGAGCTATCTGTCTCTCAGTCTGTTTGTCTGTCTATCTCTGTCTGTCTGGTTGGCTGGTGAGCAGGCAGGAATATTTTCCACTGTGAAAGCGAGCAGTTATAAACAGTGACTGAGCTCAGACAGGAGATACAGGCTTCTGATAATAAGCTCATCTCTGGATTCCTGGCATGCTCTCAGTATTTCTGTATTTGGGGACAAAATGTGAAACGAGCTAATAACTTGTGACTTTGTGAGGTATGTCTCCAGAGGCGGTTACACTGAATTTTAAACATTTACATCTGAGAAGAGCATTATATCGCAAATCAAGACAAAATCACATTTGTACATATTTGATACAAAGTTTATACAGACGGCTTTGACAAAAATGGGCTCCCTTCCTGGACCAGAACAATTGAAAAGTAATCTTTGCCCATATTTAAAGCCATATATGTTTTACTCTACTGCTGGTCTGTCTACTGTCTTTGTCTGCTTTCCAATTAGCACATATCTGACTACTAACAGTTAGGCATTAATTTCAGCTCATCTGGATAAAATGCCTGGTTTGCCAAGCCAATTTTCATCCATCCCATAACTTTGAACACCCTGGTAAAGAAAAGGCACTAACCATAACCCTAACAGTGCAGTATTTACAGGGATGGGTTGGGGGATTAGTTAGGCTTATATCAGTCTGGAGGGGTCAGACCGATTAGATGGCTACCAGACAAATTGTCTCCCCAATATAAACAACCTTACTGTCTACCTGTAGATAAGTGTGAATACACCTGTGAGTGAATTAATGTTTGCATGCAAAAGATGTATGTGATTATGGACTTTTTGGTGACTCTGTGATTTGGATGTGTCCTCTCACTGGAGGTTATTTAGGCTGGCATGTTGCCCATTTCCTCCACGCTCATCAGTCTAAATGAAGGAGACATGAAAACACCTAGAATTTCCACTTTCCTGTTCTCCACTTGTAACTGCCTCGCCAGAGTCTTTTGATCTTTTGAAATAAGTTATTAATATAACCATACTTCTGCTTTGCTATGATCTTGCAAGGCACATGCATCGCACTTGTGACTTAAAATAACTTGCTTTTATTTATATTTTGAATATTTTAGAGTTGACTGAATGGGTTTTAAACTAATTTAAAATTAATGCAATTCAGATCACAGCTGTTGTCTTCAGTTTTGACTCGAAACATATAAATCACACATGAGAGAGGTTGTACATATGTTGTATCGCTCCAGGTTTTATGTGTGTGTGTGTGTGTGTGTGTGTGTGTGTGTGTGTGTGTGTGTGTGTGTGTGTGTTGGGGGGGCAGTTTACAGAACAGGGGGATGGAGTCCCCTTTTATTCACATGGGTGATGCATTAAATGTCATTTAAAGGGGCAGATTATCATACCATTAATGGGTGGAGCTTGTCTTGGTGTGTGTGTGTGTGTGTGCATGTGTGTGTGTGTGTATGCCTGGGGGCTGCTAAGCTGTGATCATTAAGCATGTGGAGAGGTGAGCATATGGGGACTGGAATAGACCATTTGACAGAACAAAGGACTGGCAGGGTGTCTGAGGTTTCATGCTATAGAGCACTCTCTATTGTTAGTGTTTGATATCATTATCCTGTGGCCCACAAATCTCTTTTGTTCTCTCTGTTACAGTTTTTGGCCATTGGCCACTTTGGACAATACAAGCAATTGATCAATTCTCTTAAGACAGTGAAATACACTGGTGGGCCGCTGGGGGACCCATACTTTAGAAATTATATCTTCATGGGACTCAAAACCAGTATTCTTGTTACATGGGATTGGGACATTGAGACATGGCCTAAATGCAGTTTATCTATTAATGTATTATTCTATACTTTCTATGCTTTTGTTTCTCAGAAGGTTGTTTCATTTGTCTCCTTATTGTGTAGACAACTTATTCAAAACCTGTATTTACATCTCCAAACTAGAATGGCACTCAGTAGAGTCATACCTCCACCAACATTTTCTTCCACCAGATCCAGTTTATTATCTGAATGTGCACCACTCTCAAATTACACCTTAAAGATCAAAGTGGTCATTCTCAAGCCATTTTTTGGCTGAACTTATTCTTGAAATATAAACATGATAATGGGACAACGCATGTTTTAAACACCATACAGCATACATATGGAGTGATGGATGACTTTTGAGAGGCTGTTCCTTGAACCATGGTCAACTGGGTTAAGATCTGGTGACTGTGAAGGCCACGTCATATGTTTCACCCCATTTCCATACTCATCAAACCATTCACTAACCCCTTGGGCCCTGTAGATGAGAGCATCGTCTTCCTGTTTCTCTGCTCATTTAAAGGTTTTTCCTTTAATTTGTCATCCATCTGTAGGTCAGTGTCATCAACTTAAACCCTCTCTCTCTCTCTCTCTCTCTCTCTCTCTTTCCTCCCACACCTGACCTACTGTTGTTATCTGTTTACCTTGGATACCCCTGACCTCAGGCACACAGTATTAAATGTGGAATGTTGTCTAGGAAGGAAAGAAAAGGATGTTATGATAACTGATTTGTGGCCTGCTGTTGTGTGATACAACGTATCAACAATGATTATCACTGATCTGTGCAGTGTTTTATTTAATCCAACCATCTGGTGAAAATTCTTGTGTAAAACAGACCTCCTCTCCCACAACAGAGACTGCTGGCATTAACCTGGTCTGTATAGGGACAGGTGGGACTCAGAAAGGTTAGGTCCCATGGTGTTCACCATAGGATCAAACAGGGCTTAACAGGGTTTTATTGTCCATGTCATCTTCCCAAATAAAGATGCAGCAGGTTCTTTTAAGAACAGGCATGAGCAACCATCTGCGCTCTAGCATTGGACACACACTATGTTTTTTGTATTTACATGCAGTAAAATTTAAGTTAGCTCTAACCCCATCAGGCCCCCCCCCTCCTCTCAGCAGTGGAAGCAGTATTAATGACTCTTCCGTCTCTGCTCCTCCCAGGATTTGCTCTGCTATTGCTAAACCTGGCTGCACTGGAGAAGTGCACACTGTGTGTGTGTCAGAAACTCTGTGGGAACGTTCATTTGCAAGCTCATCAAGAGCATCCTGTTTGTGTGTGTGTATTTAATCTGCTCATACGCTATAACCATCATGATGTTATATTATTAAAGGTGTTAGAGGCAGGTTGAATGTAATATTCAGCTTGTTTCATGGTGCAGAGTTTAAATGTTTCATCGTACTTTACTGCACACTTCTCTCTGTCTGTTTCTCTCTTTTTTTATCTGTCTTGAAGATCCTCCAGTGTCTGTCCAGCCACCTTTCGCCTCTCTAAGTTTATGTCTGATTTCTTTCTCAACCTTCAGCTCTCGATCTCCTCCTTGATATTTGTTAGTTTTTCATAAGAAATCGTTCTTTGACTGTGTACTCACCAGGCTGCTATAACTAGCCCTGCAGTGAACACAGTGCAGAGCTACTTGGCAAAATGTACTGTGTATGTGTTTGCGTGGTCAGGGCCAAGAAACCAATAGGACGAGTGTTTAATCAAGCCACTACTATATCAGTCTAAATACAAAGTCAATATTGATCCGTCTGGGCTAGAAAAGGGGAATGGACAAATGCCAGGGCAGAGTTGCAGAATGAGAACAACTGCTAGCTGTCCGACATAAATAATGACGACACTAGTAAATAAACAAAGTGGAAATGATGGTACTGCACTTAGGCACAAGATTGCTTACACACATTGAAAAGACTGTGGCAGAGATAAATTGGCAACTTAATTGGTTATGATTGTTTCTTTAATTCTTAGAGAGCCAGAGGCAATGTGCACAGTAGATTTGTATAGGTATTGTAGATTTGTAAGTATCCATTCAACTAAAGATGACTGGTTCAAGAGCTAGGATCTGTGGTATAAAAAGCAGCATGTAAAGTGATGTGAATATATGTGACAGAGTCAATTTAATGGTGATTTAAAGTTTTTAAAAATGTCAGTGTGACTTTAATTGAAGAAAAAAATGATGACCCATGCATTCATTTTCCAAGATGCTTGACTTGTAGTCTTAGACTTGAGGCAACAGTGCTGCAGTAGTGAAACAACCATTTTACAGGAGTTAAACAAGCTGATGCTGGGCTTGTTTACAGTCACCATCACCATAACCTATCCTTCCAAGGACCTTTGTGAGACCTTTTAATTCAAGCCTCTGGGATGCGTGCTCTTGTCATGATCTAGTTATGGCTGGTCCCATCTTAAATGAAGCAGCCTGAAGCACTGAGTCCATGTTCCCAAAATATCTGGATGAAAGATAAACCGACCCCTCTCCTCTCCTTTGCCCCTCACTCCCTCCCCTTGTCATTTTCTCTGTGTAGAGTGCTCCCACACTCTTTTCCTTAATCCCCCCCCATCACCCCCCTTTTCTCCCCCCTCCCCAAATTTTTTTCTGAGTGTTGTCTCCTCCCATCCCCTAATCTCACCCTTCATATCATCTCATTCATTTCTCCTCCTCTTCTGTGTTCCACTCACTCCACCCATGTGCGATTCCCCTCCTCTTTCCCCTCCCTCTCTCCACCCATCCTAACCTCTACCCGTACTTCCTCTCGCCTCCCTCTTCTTCTCTCCCCTCCTCCACCTTTCCCCTCCCCTCTGTCATTAGCTGGTATATAAGAGCATTGTATCCCTCTCTACCTCTCTCACACACACAGTGTGTTTGCTGGGAAGGGGATAGTCCAGGGGAAACTAGGGATAACATTGTCTACCTTCCTGTAAGGGAATATTTTCCTCTCTGGAATTTCCATTAAACAGGTACAGCCTTTTCATTCACACAATAATAGCACTTAATAATAAGAAATATGTTGCATTTCTATTAATGTTAGCTGTGTAAATGTCCCTTGGTGACAGGTTCCTGGGGGATATTGTAAGTCTTTTATGTTACTGAACTGCGGCACAATACTCAAAATTATATTTTACTGCTTTGCATGTGAATGTATTTTTGTTTTCACTACTTAAGAGTATGCAGCCAGTTGTTATTTTTTAACGTGGAAAATCATAATCATAATCAAATCATGTGTTTTTTTTGATAATATTTATTCATTTATTTATTTTTCAAATGTCCTTTTCACTTTGCTTCTTATGTCCTCCCATTAACCCCTCAAGTTCCTCTTTTGAACACCCATCAGTAAATTATTTTCTTCTCACCTCCTTCGTCTTATGTAACTATACAATAACAAATCTAATGTACGGTTTTCTTTCATATCTCCCCTCAGATCTTGGAACAACATCTTAAAAGGAGACAGCACTTCTGGCCAAATTCTCACCCATCGTCAAAAGCCAGTGACATCATTATTATCACCTGATCCGCAATCAGCATCATCAATCGCCAGCAACATAAACGCCAAACGCATTTGACATTATCAGGAAGACCATGAGCGGCAACTACAGCGTCACTCTCTTAGGCCCTGCCCCCTGGGGCTTCAGGCTGCAAGGAGGGAAGGACTTCAACATGCCCCTCACCATCTCCAGGGTAAGACTAAGACCCTGTTCAGACCTGGCATAAACACGGGTCTTTGGTGATCCGATCACAAGTGGACAGCTCTTAGCACGTCAGGTCACACCTGGCTATAAAATCCGTCTCCACATGTGTGTCGAGTGACCATCTGTGAATAGATCTCACTCAGATGTCTCTCGCTCTATAAGCAAATAATCACGTATGCATTGTTTTTAGCCAGTCTGACTATGACAGACGAGTTCGTTGTCATTGTGTTTGTGAGAGAGAGAGAGAGAGAGTGCGTGGCACGGAGGGGTTGAGCGAATCATTGTAGTAGAGTATAGTATATGAGCATTTTCTCTATATTATGAAACTGTGGCCGGACTAATTAGACTGTGGTAGAGGATGGCAGTTGCGTAGGCGGTCCTTCAATGTAGCCCAGGACACATTTGCGTCCACGCTGCTAAAAGAATGTGACCACATGTGGCCCAGACCACCTCCAAATATGGTCTGAGTGATTGGATCTCAAATGCGTCCTCAATGCGTCTTGGTTTCTTTCACACCTGAACTTAGAGCTGTCCGCTTGTGATCGGATCACCCGAGATGGATGTTAATGCCAGGTCTGAACAAGGCCTAAAACACTCACACACACACACACACACTCACACACACACACTCACACTCACACTAAATCATCTTACCTCACAATTGTCTGTATTCTCTGCAAAGTGAAAAAGGCACATGCCTATATTTTATCTCCACACACGCGTGCACATTCGCACACTCATTCATCAGAGGGCCGCTGTATAATGGCATTCCAGCAGTGCCATATGGCTGATAAGTGATTAAAAAGATGAGAACTGATTTCCATGCTTCCTTCCTTACCTTCCTTCTCCCATCCTCCTCTCCATCTTTCCACCATTTCAGCTGTCCCTTTGACTCAAACCCAACAACCACCACGCTTGCGATAGCTCAGCTGAATCATAAGCCATCTGCCATGTAATGACCACACAGGAAAATTATATGCATTCCACTTAACTTTGAGTGTCTGTAGTGAAAGTGCACCAATCAAAGTCCTGGCACTCAAATCTTGGCTGAAGTCCCTCTGCTTGAACAAGTAACTTGATGGTCCCTTGGTTTCTGTGCCTTTCAGTGTCTACCCCTAACATTACCTCCTCCCAGTCTGCTGTTCGTTCACACATAAAAGATCACACAAAAACAGTAGGTTTCCCTCATCACTTTAACTATAGTGTGATGCTGAAACATGATAATCCTTTTCTAAGTTTGGTCAAGCTTCTGTTCCGTTCTGCTGGGGCAGTGCAGCTTCACTGGCACGCACACAAAATACAGTGAAGCATACAGGCTCACACACACACACACACACACACACACACACACACACACACACACACACAAATCACTAAAACTGGCAGCGCACAGACTTATGGCAACATGAGACTGGTGATGAATGGCTTGCCAGGTCCTGTGCCAGTCCCCCTTGGGGCCGCTTTGGGTTGCCATGTTTGTGTTATTACTTTGGATGTGATACTTTTCCCACTAACTGAAGCCATGTGACTTCTTACCACAGTTGTGTGTTTGCGTGTGTTTGTGTCTGGGTTTGTGTGCGTGGACACCAAGTCATGGAAGATGCTATCTGAATAACTGAGAGAAAAACATGACAGAAGACAAAAATAGAAATAGAAAGCAAGAAAAAAAAAGAGACAAACCCAAATTATACAAAAGCACCATGTTAAACTTTGCGTGCACGATCTGGAATTTTTATTTGTGGTGCTGTCATGTCTGAAATATCAGACTGAAATATTCTGCACTGCAAATAATGCATTCTTCAGAGAGTTTATATACTGCATTGAAAAAAGATGATAAAATAAATGGTGATGTTGGTCAGTGAAGTTGGCAATAAGTAAACAATAATCGTCTCAGCAGCCCACTATGAACTTTACTGCAGTATCACAATGACACTTATATGGTTTGAGGTTTCAAGATATTGGCAGGAGTAAAAGTGAAGTACTGGTGCAGTTTTGGGTGCTGACAGTAAATGTTTGTTAGGTCTGCTTAAGACCATGAAGTGTACAGAAAGTGGATAATATGACTTAGCCTCCAGATTAGGGTCAGGCCAGTGTCTAGAGATTTCATTAATCAATCAAAGTGAAACTAAAATAAAAGAATGATCTTGTATTTCTATTTCAGTGTAACAGTGTATATTTTGTAGTCAATGTATTTCATATCCAAAGGTGTAAACAAAAAACATCCAATGAAACATAGAATTTAAAAAAAATCCATGACTCATAATTTCCCAATTTGATACTCCATTGTCTGCTGCCTTACCATTTTGTTTTGAATGCCAAAATGCTGTTTGATTGTGATTATGTCTTTCGTGGGGAAAAGGCCAATTGTATCCCAAGCACTGTATCCTGTTGCAGTTTCTTGATGCTCTAGATTTTAATTTTTGGGGAGGAAAAAAATCAAGACTCGTAAAAAAAAAAACAAGAACAGCAGTGCATCTGGTTTTTGAAGACTGAAACTGATGGGATGCATTGTTGGATCTCGAAGAGGGGAGACATGTAGATTAACAAGGGAGATGGAAAGGAAGGGAGTGGGAGCGTTCGAATGAATATATGGTGATACTGATACGCAAGTGCAAGGAAGTGAATCTATCCAGTGTATACAGAGACTGTGGGTGATGACAGCTGGTCTATATGACACAAACATATGAGGTCAGTCAACAGGTCATCTATCTAGAGCTGTCTCTCTGTCGCCCTCATTCTTATCATACCTTCCTATGTGTTTTCTCTATGTACCTCTGTCTCTAATTGGCTATTAGATGTCATGCAACTCTTGACTCACTCCTCAAACAGTTTTCAGTCTAGATCCAAGAATCAAACCAAACCCTAATCTTATCCCATTAAATGCAGTTTATGGTGATGAAGGGCAATGTTTCTGACCACTGATCAATGACACATACACATGTGTCAGAGATCAGCTGGCACACACAACAGAACCACACACACAGATTGCTCTCTGCCAGTCTAACCATATAGTTGGTTCTAAGAAGGGACCACAGAATATGGGGTTATTAGAAAACCGCACTTACCCTAAGTGCTGCTGTTGCTAAGCTCTATATATGTGTATGTGAATATACTGTGTGTTTCATTTATGGCACTAGATCTACCCACAGTATTATCACATTGTACCAGTATTGCATCATAGGTTGATTAGTTGTAACCATAACTGTATGTCCTGAGCTATCTGCCCAGTAACTGCTGTTTATGCAAATTGTGCTCACCACTTCTTTTTATTTTTTTTTTACGGTGTAGAAAAACAGTTTTTTAAGAGGCCAAGATTGACGGTGCTGCTTCTCAAAGTGCCAGTGAAATGTTTTACCACGGCATCACAGTTTGACATAGTCTAATAAAAGGAGACATTTGGAGAAGAAAGGGAGAGATTTTAACAAAAGAAGGCAGTGTGAAAGAGAAGGGTTGCTGAGTTGTCTTCAAGTATATTTATCATTAGCCTGCAGTATCTTGAACCTATCCTGCATTGGTTCAGCAGGATTTTCCAGATACTTCTATACACAGTTATACGGGGATATGTAAAGTTGTACCAGAAGAACAACAGCTGGACAGTTTCACTGTCTAATTTACATACAGAGTAATATGTGAGAACACAAGGGGCTGTTGATTGGTTTATATTGAACATTTTGTTGAGATGGAAGCTAGTTCACTTAGGATTGTTTCTATAAGCACAAGGGTACCTTTACGCCTTGCCTTCTAGTGAAGGAGCCATTCAGTGGATTTTCTGTAGAAAAGATTAGGGAGAAAATAACCTGCAGAGGCAGTCCAGTTGCTGTTAATCCTCATTAAAACCATTTGTTGTGAAATCCATTATACTGATCAAAAGGTTTTCAAGAACAAGACCCTCATGTGTAGAGGCAGAAAATACCTTCCTGCTATTCCCAGTTAAATTTACAATCAGGGAATCAATATTTAAAACTTTCCAAGGGCAACCCATTTACAGTACACTGCTAAAATAATTTAAGTGAAGGCAGCACAGGGGAATAGATGCATTAAGCTTCTAAGAATAGAGGCATCTTTTCACAGGTCAGCGCCCATGGCCACACCCACTTATGAGACAAAATGCTCTCAGGTCTGTTGTAGGCTGAATAATGCGCAGACTACATTTGGGGTATTTCAAAAAACACACTATAGACTACAGATACAAAAAATAAATCAGGATAATGATTGAGATGAGACATTACAATATTTAAAGGTGTCTTGGGGAGTTTTTTGTGTGTTTACTTTCAGTGTTACTCACCAATATGTACTGTGTGTATCCTTGAGGCCTGACAAAAGCGCTGAATGCATTTTCTTTAGAATTTTTTTAGTATTTTGAAAACTGCATTGTTTACATCTTTGGTTACTTAGTAGCAGTCTTCTTCTACCCGCTGTATTGTCGCCACCAGGTCGATCAGCAGAGTAGTATTGTGCCAGGCATATGTATCTTGTCCCAATGTGCATGCACAAAAGCAAACAAAACAGGGACCCACTTCTAAAAGTACTTCTCTATAGTGCTACTAGTGGTCAGAAACTCCACAGAGTATCTCTGAGAATGAGAATCCCTTCATCTGGTTCATTTGTGTTTTGTTGTTTGCATCAAATTTATGTATGTAGATAGCAGTCATATATTTGGCCTGTTTTTTTTTATATAAAATGTCTTTTATATAAAATATTACTTTGTACTATGTCCATAATAACCTTAATAAAGCTATATAAAGGAATCTCTGTAAACCTAAGAACAGGTTTTGAAGAATTGGTGATAAAGTTAGTGCAGTGACTAAAGCAAAACGAGTGGACAGCTAATCTATATTAAAACCTTTTCATGGAAGAATGCAGTTCCTGGAACAGCATCAGCGATGGCTGCCTCCTGCGTCCCCAGAGATGCTTTTCAACAGCCGATGATAACAACTGACCACAGTGATGGGTCTATTTCAAAGACTGCTTAGGTCTATACATAGTCTC